TATATCGAAGTCAACACTTTTGACTCCAGGCGCCGTAACATTTTTAATTGATGTTACTTCATTAAATGCATTTTTAGCACTTTTTATTATGTTAGTTCCCAAAGTAATAGCACTTAGGCTATTGCAACGACAGAAACAGTAATCCCCAAACACTCTGATGTGTTCCAAATCAATTTCTTTGAGTTTTGTGCAGATGAAAAAGCATTTATCTGGAATTTCATATAAATTACTTGATAAAGTAATTGAAACTAATATAGTGTTGTATTCAAAACACGAAAGACCAAATTTTACTATGTTAGAACAGTCCATTGCAGTCAGTTTAGCACTCGTATTTTTAACTGCTTTGTCTAAAAAAATGTTTGCGTCTTTATAAGAACATCCATAATGTTGACTATCAAATCTAAAAGTTCTTAATGGACATATAACACGTTTACCTTGGTTTAATTTAATGCATTTATGAAGAGGTGTGGGGTAGTGGACATAATATTGTCGATACTTAGAAAGAAATTTATCTTTTTCTGTATAGAGATGAAGAGTCTCGACATTTGGAAAATACTTTTGTGTTATAAATGAGACTGAAATGGGATTAAAATGAAACATCTCTGGTATTTCCTTAAACTTTTTACACACAAAAACCATGTTGATATAATCAAAAATATAACTAAAGTATTTGGAAACGATCAGCATTGAGTAGCGATCAAGTTGAACCACCATTTGTATGTTATAAAGTTAGTTTTTAATTTTAAATTAAAAATCATTGAGGTATTACTTTAATTAAAACACACTCATGTTTTCAATAAATAACAATTATACATCGTCTTTATTAATATTTTACTAAAAAGTGTTATAGTTAAAATGGATGACGGAATGATATTTACTATAACTTAATACACATTTATTGTTAAAATTATTAAAAACATTTATATTGATCAGTTTTTTATTTAATGTTATAAATTAATCATTAATTGAGTAACAAACTAATGTTAAAAAACGTTCGCATTTTATTTTTCGAGAATTCAAAATAACTACAGATGGAGGATAAAGTTGGTGACAAAAAATAAATAACCCGTTTTTCTAAGGAAGTATAAAGTTCAATAGTCGTATTTCTCTTTTAACCCAGGTTTTTTTAATTCCAATAAATGGATGGTAAAGGTAAAGTAGGTGACAACACTCCTATGCTATTTTTTCATTGTTTTCCAAAAAATTGAGGGGAAAAAGACTGTAAATTTAAAAAACACAAAAAGGGCAATAATGCGTTCAAGCTTCTCTGAAAAAAGTGATCTTAATTAAAAAAGAATTTCAATATTAAAAATAAATGATTACCATTAAAACCACGAACCCTCAACCACAAAACTCACTTGAATTAACCAAAGACGATAAAAAGCCAGATAATCTTCCAATCATTGCCATTGTACACTTTAAATTCCAATGAATTTGGTTGATATGTTAGATGGGGAAACAATCTTACAAATTCATTATAACGGGTTTGCTCTTTACATAGTTTTTTTTTCTTTTTTTTCTGAAAAAATCTGATTATTTAGACCTTCGTTGGATCGATCAAGCACAATAAGACCTGTCACTTCTTTGATGTGGCAGACTAATGTCTCATTTATTATATCTTTTTGTTGGGAGTCAAAGTCTGCAATGTTAACGACATTAACGTAGTTGTTGGGGCTGTGAGTTTAATTATTGTTGTTTGATTGGGAAATACCGTTGTCTGGAAAACGGTCTAAAATTATTTGAAAAGTCGAAATACACTTTATATATCAATAAAAAGTGGAAAGTGCTTTCAATATTACGGGAAATTATCCCTTTACTTTGAAATGACGAAATTATTTTCTCATTTGTTTCTTATTGATTGTTTTCTTTTTATTTTTAAAATTTTAATGTCGTGTGTTATTTTTTAGGTTAACGAGTTTTTATACGGTTTTGTTATAGAGCCAAAATCTTTTGTGAATTTTTATTAATTGATAAGAAATAGGCGTTACATTGTGTACAACACTTTATGCAAAAGGATTGAGAGTAAGTGTTGGTTAAATTTACTTATTATAAAATTCTTAATAATATTTTTTGTTTAATAAAACATTATTTTTTGTCACCGACTTTATCCTTGTCACCCATATTTTCCTTTATCTGTACAGTAAAACTTCTCATAAGTAAATTAAACTCGAAAATAGAACCCCTCAATAGTGGTAATGAAATTATTTTTTTTATTTCTTTAGAGTAGGAATGTCGAAACCGTTTCTAAAACGATTTTTTTGTTTATTTCTGAAACGAATAATTTTTTTGTTTTGAAACAGGGTCTATCACGTGACAAAAGTGTTTTTTTCTTTGTTATTTGCCACGTCACCAAAGTGGGCTTGAATTTATGTTCACTTAGTTCTTTTAGATCTAGCGGCGAGCTTAAAGCCGACTTTTGTAATTGAAAAAACTTAGAAATAGATAGTTATTTGAATCAATACTAAGCCAATTAATGGGAAAACAAGCTAATTCAAATTTTAAACATCGGTTTATATTTTATTACTGCTGTGATTGCCATAATTAACACAATAATTGTGACAAATGCAGCACTGTTTTACACATCAACCCGATAGTTACAAATAACATTTTAATAACACAAATAACAATGAAATAACAATCTATTAAATAATTATATTTTTATTATAATATGTATAAAATAAACCTATTCAACTTAAAAATAAACCAAAAAACCAATAACTAATAATTAAAACTGTTATTAAACAACTAATAATAAAAGAGAAATATATATTATCATATTTATATTTAACGTTATTAACTAAATATATATATTTTAAAACTATATTAAATAATAATAATACAAACTCAAAAACTCTAAAATATCTGTTAATTATAAAAAATACTATATAACATATAATATCAATACTATATTTTTAAACTATACAAATCTAAACAATGTATTAATAATTAATTAAATTCTTTAGTACATGATTTATATTTATAACTATAAACTTATAGTTTTAATAATTATATATTTATTATTATTGTGTAATGAACATTTAAATATTAGGATAGCTATGTCTAATAAATCGGGCATTTTATTTAGAAACGTTTATTAATCAAAAGCAGTTATAGGACAAAATATAAATTAGTCTCAATAATAATAATCAACTAAAACTATATATTAAAATATCAATAAAAATAGTTAAAAGACACACATTTTGAAATATAGTTTATTTACCCAAAAATGATAGGTATTAAATACATCATTTATCGGGATCGATAACATTTCAATAACATAAATACAAATACTAGAAGAATAACAATTTGAAAAACAAAATTTCTAAAACATTAACATATTTTTGTAATGACAATTTTCAAAATACCATTTGAATTTCAAAATAGAATTAATATTAAAGACCTTTTAAAAACAACCCAATTATTACAAATCACAACAAATAAAAACCATCCAACGATGACAAATAAATCAAAAGAGGTTCAAAATTAACAATAATAATTGTCAAAACGTGATACACACAACGCAAATTATAACAAAATCAACTTTGCCATGAAACAAAACAAAGTTAACAATCATATTTTTTTCACGCCAAAAAATTAAAAACCTTCGTGAGTAGAATTAATTCAGTCTTTTTTATGATCATTTTTGTATAGATTTGAACTGTTTTGGATTTTTGATTGCAACAAACCGATTTGACAAAAAAAAATACAAAAACATTAATTTATATAATTTGGTTTTTAGTAAAATTTACTAAAATTGAAACTATATATTTTAAAAAAAAATTCTAACACTTTTACTATATTAATTGAAATAAATAAATTATACTATTATAATTATAAACAATTAGAAAATAAACAAATACATTCAAATGATTTAGCTTCGTGATACAAGTTTATATATTCATTGGGTATGGTTGTTATGCCAGCCTGTCTTTTAGGATCGATTCACCCTATTCCAATTAATGTTGTCTAGGAACCTTTCTCCCTTCAGTCCTTAGATATTTTTTTTCCTCTTCTAAGTATTTGCTACTTCCACCAAGATCTGTACTCAAGTCTGTTTCAATAGAAATTACTTCTCTACCTTTATCACTCATGTATTCTTGACACCATGCATTTCCTTACTCCTCATGCGCCTCAGCCTCCACAAAAATACAGTATCACTCTCTCTCATTATAATACCTTCCATTTTCAAGGTTCATCCATTCTGTAAATGAGTTGTTAAACTTTTTTTGAAAATTTACAATTTCAATGGCAAATTTCCTGTCAATATGAATAAATATTTTCAATTGTTCTCCTCATGCAAGACTTGGATACTTTATCTGTATGTTTGGTTCATCCCGCATCGCCAGTCCTGCTTACCAAACTTGGACGAATTGAAGTCTGCATATGCTCATTCCTAATAAATTAGTATATTTTTGAATCTCTCGACTATTTATAGTTTGTTAAATTGTTGAAAAATCAAACCGTCCATCATGTGTAATCATTGTCTTTACCAATCGTCACTACTTCCTCACTTCAACCTTCCCAAGGGAATATTCAGGTGGAACCAGCTACTAGATAGTTCTATTAGTCTTTCGCCCCATACTCATATATTGCAAGTAATTTGCACATTAACACGGCCAAGTCTTTCCACCCAAGTTTTTTCGGCTTCAAACACCACAAGTATAGTTCACCATCTTTCGGGTCCCAACAGTTTAACTCTAGCCTTTTCTAGGTGACTCCTGCTATATGTTTGGTCCTTCGTTTTCGCTTCATATCTGGGTTTTCTTCCCTTCCTATTCGCTCCGATGTTAACCCTCGTGGAGAAACTAAAAATGTTTCTATAAACCACGAGGGTTATATTTCAATTATTAATCTTTGTCAAATATTTTTTACAGATCATCTATTTATATTAAGTTTTTTCGTTGTATATTTGGTTTGTTTCATTTTATATTTTTAAAATGGATTTTTTTCAATGTAAATTAAAATAAATAATTTGGTCAAAAAAAAACAAGAAGCAATTATTGTTTGGATTGTCTATCAACATGAAAAACATTCTTCTCAGAAACACAAAGTTAATTAATAATACACAAAACAAAGATTGTTTTTAACACTTAAAATAAACTCAGTTTTTAATATTCAAATTTCATTTTAGTCTTAATTCTACAAACTATTCAATATAGTTATATAACCATTGTTATTAATTCATTTCCTCTTCAAAAATTAAGTAAAACATGACTGTTTTATCAATAAAAATAATTAATTATTTACAACAAAACAGTGTTATTTTTTAATTTAAAACACTCTTTTTAAGAGAAACAACCCAATTTTATCAAATGCCATCACAAATTAAAGATACTTTAAAATTCCCGTTTGTTAGAATTTCTATGTTTAAATTAAATACAGTTGTGCAAAAAGAATTATCATTTGACAATGAAAACAAACTCATTTTGGATTTTGGAATTTATATTTAGTCCAATAAAGCATCAACAAATTTAATTAATAATCAATTAAAATAAACTATAAAAAACCATCTTTTTGTCTTCCTATTTAAGTTAAAACAACATCAAATTTTCCAATTAATCTTTTTTAAACATCTTTTTCAACTTAATAAACTGGTAAAAGGTTATATTTTTTTAAGTAAAATATATATAATTTCCGTGCCATTTGTTTATTTGTGGAAAAAGATAATTAATTTTATCTTGTTATTACAAAAATACTTTTGTAAATTTATCGACTTAAAAAATTGTATTTTTATTTCCAAATTAAATATTTTTGACCCAAATATGTTTTTTTATTGTTAATATACAACAAAAAACGCATTTCTGAACTACAATTAAATTTATGTTTTTATCAAATTAAAAAATATACAAAATATGTTATATTATAATCCATAATAATACATAATAATATTTTATTATGTATATTATACATAATAATATTTTATTATGTATATTATACATAATAATATAATATATTTTATTCAAATAAAGAAAAAAATGGACATGGGGAAAAAGGATGGGAATATAGGGGAAATAGGTAATTTCTGGGTTAGGGACGTCCTCCCGCTATTAAGAATGTTTTCCTGTGTATAAAATTATCCTTTTTGTTGTGTCTATGGTGTTTTTAAAACTATATAACGAGTTATATTTTTATTATTAATTTACTATTAAAAAATACAATTATTTCCAAAAATACATTTAATAATGGACAAACGCAAAACAACAAGTACTTTTGTTACAAATTAATAGTTAAAAAACTAATTCAAATTTAAATTGGTTTTTTTGGGTCAGTTCGAATAACTTTGTTAAGACAAGTAAATCACATAAGTCGACCTCTTCTATCTTTGATCCCTTTGTGTCGCTCTTCTTTGCACCCCATTGTTGTGCACCAGACATGTTACCAGTTTTATTCTGTCGATATCTGTATGAAGATTGGCTTGATCTTATCCTCAGCTTTTTCTGTTTCTGTGTGTATTCATTATTTGATGCCGATTGGTTCTTGTCGAGCCAGTCGAGTATCTCCTTGATAATTGCTTCAATTGCCGCCTTGTCATCTGGTGAGAGCTTTGCTGCAATTTGTTAGTTGAGTGTGTTTTTCATCGAGTAGCAAAAGTTTTCAAGTCCATTCTTCGCCTCGATACGTTCCTTCATCTTGTCGTCCTCTGCCTTGAGCTTCTCTGCGTCTATAACCATTTTGTTGATTGGTACCTTTGAGAGTCTTCCCTTGTCGTTGGTGATTGTGATCTTGTTCTTCTTTCCTGTTGTCTTGTCTTCAGTTGAGACATTCAAAATCCCATTTGTATCAATGTCAAATGTGACTTCAACTATGGGACTCCACGTGCTCTTGTGAGTGACGTGTAGAAGTCGATGCCTTCATACAACTGGTCGACTTCGATGTTTGCTGTTGTTGCATTTGACTGTGTTCGCTTTGCCCTTTCACATGATGTTCTGAGTCTTCTGACAGCTCGTGCATTGCCTGAAATGTCTTTCTTGTGCTTTCTCTTGAATTTGGCAATGAAGTGGTTGACCATTCTGTTATCAAAGCCTTCGCCAACAAGGTGTGTGTTGCCGTTTGTTGCTTTCACTTCAAAGACGCCATCGTCAATAGCAAGAAGTGAGACATCAAATGTTCCACCACCAAGATCAAAGATCAAGCTGTTCTTTTCTCTCTCCGTCTTCTTGTCAAGTCCATATGCTATTGCTGCTGTTGTTGGCTCATTGATGATTCTGAGCACATTGATGCCTGCAATTGTGCCTGCTTCCTTTGTTGCCTGTTGCTGTGAATCGTTGAAATAGGCTGAACATGTGATGACTGCGTTGTTGACTTTCCCACCAACAAACGCCTCTGCTGTCTCCTTCATCTTCGTCAACACCATCGAACTGATCTCCTCTGGTGTGAACTTCTTAATCTCTCCCTTGTACTCAACCTGAATCAAAGGCTTGTCATTGCCATCGTTGACGACAGTGAATGACTAGTGCTTCATATCCTCTTGAATTGCTGGATCACTAAAGCGTCTTCCAACCAGTCTCTTTGCATCAAAGACTGTATTCTTCACGTTCATCGCAATCTGGTTCTTTGCTGCATCGCCAATAAGCCTCTCGCTGTCCGTGAGGCTTATTTTTAACAAGTCTCCTTCAGTTTCAAACGACTTGTTATAAATCTCTTTTAAATGGGTTATCATTGTAAGACATATTTTTCTCAAAAAGTAAACCTGCTTGATTTGATAAATAAGTTTGATTTTAAATTATAGTTTTCATAATATAATTAAATTTATTATAAATTAGATCTTGAAAATTAAATTATAATTATTTAGTATATTATATAATTAACAATAGTTATTGTATAGTTAAATACCCATAATATTAAATTATGTAAACTGTTTTTCAAAAGTCGGTACTGTCATATTTTTAGAATTTTCTAAAGTCCCGTTTTTTATTTTCGTTTTTTCCTAAAAAAACAAAAAACAAAAAATCGAAAGTACCGACTTTATTTTGAAAAAAATACCAATCCCGTTCAATTATTTTCGTACATATTCGGGAAAATATCGGAATATTAGCCATCTTTTTCCAAAAAACCCGATCCCGTTATTTGATTTGACCATAACTCGATACTTCGCAACATATACACAGCATTGTTGACCTAAAAGCACAACAATTAACGTTTAAGTGAATTGGGATGGTGTTGTTTGTGTCGAGTTGTAACTGATAATTACTTTCGTTAAAAAAATATTTTCAATTAAAAACAAACATGTGGTTATCTTCTCTGAATAAAAAATAATGAAATAAAGAGTTCAAAAAACACCAAAAAATAATTACAGCAAATGTTTGATAATTTTGACAGGCATAAGTCAAAATTGTCAAAGGGCAACACTAGAAAAATAATACAAAATAACAATATTGTTTTGTTATTGGATATTTTAAAAAAGATGTTCTCACTGAAATGCTCAAAAAGAATGTCGACTTTATAAAACCCAACAAAGATAAATTATCAAATCATTTTGTTATTTTTATTGTTTTTGTGACAACACTACTAAGCATACTAATCTTCGAACTAAGCTTTTGTTTTGTGAATATTTCATTAATTATTAAAATGTTTGATAATGAAAAAATTTGACATTAAGTTTATTTGCTTTTGTACTAAAATGCACTTTTGGGATAATTCGTGTGTTTTTATGAAACAAAAATCCCGTTATTTTAAATTTTATATGGAATTTTTTAATGCTTAAAAATTCTTCAAGTAAAAAAATATTTTTTGAAGACCGTTTTTCTATTTTTTACTTGGAAAAAATAAGCGAATTTATTACAAAAAACGATTCCCAAAAATAATAAACAAAATAAATGCAAAAAATCGGGACACCTCAGTACCGACTTTTGAAAAACAGTTTATATATCTATTAATTTATAGTATAATTTTATTTAAATTAGAGGGTGAGGTTTAGAAAAAGGATGTCGGTTGATTCCTTAATCATTCCAATAGCCCTCCTTCCTGCCCGTTCACGGTGATGGGTGGGTCGTTTTATACTTTTATTCGATATTGTTGAAAATGAATTTTATAAGAGTAAAACCCATTCCCGAAATATTACGGGTTTTAAGACTGTTTTATCAATAAAAAACAACCTGAAATATTAGAGTTTTTTTAACTGTTTTATATATAAAAATATTCATTTAAACAAATCGAAATCAAAATTGGTAATTAGTTTTTCAGAGCATCCCCAACATCCATGTAAGCAACTTTCTTTTCAACTCTCATGTTTGCTCTATCAAGTTGTCCAATTTTATTAAAAGATCTTTCAACTGGGCAAGTGGTTGGACTCTTAGCATTCATCTTTTTCACAAGATTGAATAAACATGGGAATTGATTTTTTTCTTCTTGACTCATCAAAGCAAACAAGGTGTTCAAAGTTAGTTTTTTAATGGGCAACTTTTTAAGAAATCTTCTGCTTCTTTTTTGAATAAAGCCCTTATGTGCTTTCTGTGTTGAATGGCGTTTGCTCTCTTTTCTTTAACAATTTCACTACTGCTGCAATCTTCAGCGAAATCTGTTGCTTCTGTTTGATCCGTACTTGTTAATCTCACTTGTTTAACAAGAGTACTTATCGCCTCAGTAGCATCAGCCCTTTCTTCCCTTTCCAACCTGTTTGCAATTTCTTCGACTTTTTCAATGTTGACACAGTACCAATCTCGAAACTTTTGAACTTCCGCTTTTAGTTCTTGGTCATCACTTTCCTCGAATGATTTTGCATCAAAGTTGTTGTAAATTTTGATATTTATTACCAATTCTTTTCCTTTGAGTTTTCTTTGTAATTTCCCGAAATTTGCCATATTCGTTCCTTTGACCTGGTTTTCCTTCAACAATCCAGCATCGAAAAGGTCTTCTTTGGTCATTTTTCTTGAAGGAATTGCAAACCTCAAAATCATCGCGTCACTCAACTTAACGAGCAGGTGAATTGAATATTTTTCCAAAATGAATTTTTCGTTGTCGTCAAGATCTTCAGTGTATTTCATTTTTTCTAAATAATCGGTTAACACTACCTTACGTCTGAGCTCGAAGATATTCGAAATTGAATCTTCAACACGTTGATAGGCCACGGGGTATAGTAAATTGGCGGTCTGTAGACAATCGTTAATTATCTTCACCTTACTGAGCACTATTTGAGTGAAGAACATACATGCAACAAACAATTTGCAGTTGACATTACACTCACCCATAATGTTGCGAGGTCCAAAAGGCTTTTGGTATTGTTCTCTTTCACTGTAAAATTCTTGAAGTGAAGGCAGATTCTCAAACATGTTATCAAGAATCAATACTGTTTGGAGCCACCTTGTTTCGGATCGTTGAACCAATTTGAGAACTGCACCTTTGATATGATTTTTGGCACAGAATTGATCCCATGCTGTTCTTATTGTCTGAACAGTTAATCCGTCCAAGAAACTTTCAATAGCCAGCCCCCATTGCGATTCAAAACACTTTTCAGTTGCTTTATTTGTTCTATGTGAAAAGCAGTAGTTTGAATCAAATCCGTTCAGCCCGTCTCTCTCTTTTATTTTAGCCAGGAGTTTACCAGAGAGCCCACCATTTCGTATTAGAACATAAGCTCCATCAAAACAAGCACCAATGCATTTGATGAAATCAGCATCCATCAATTCCAATATTTTCATTATCCAACTGAGCCACCCCGCAGCATCTGTTTTGCCGTCATAGTTTTCGATTTTGACTCTCTTTTCAACAAATGATCCATCTGAAAACACGAATCTTACAAAGAGAGAAAAGTACTCAACCCCACTATACATTGCTGAATCGGCCATTAATGTATAATAGTCACAGTGCTTAAAGATGAGTTGTAAGTCATATCTGGATTTTTTCGAAATCAACTCAAATCTCCGTTGCATAGTTGAAGAACTGAGAGCGGTGTTAACAACTTTTTTAGGAACATTGGACATGAGCAAAATTATGGATATCAATTTTGACATGGTATCAATTTGATTATTTGTCAACCCACACGCTCCCATCATCAATGCAGCCATCATCGTTATAAAGCTGCCTCTTTCATTTCCAGCATCATTTGTTGTTGAAAAACTGTCAATATTTTTACCAAGTCGCCTTTGTACTTCTTTGTTGGTTTCTTGTGCGATGTACTCGGCGGAGTATTTATTCTCTGGTCTGAGGAGCTCTTTAATGTGTTTCATTTTTTTTTCCAATTGTTCGATCTCAAACACAGTAAATTTTATTTCTTCTTTGGTCGAATTGTTAGTATTCTGAGATTCGTTCTCGGTAGCCTGGCTATAATCAACATGTGTCCCATTTCTTGTTTGTATTGTTGGAGGAGTCGGAATACAATTTGTAATAGCAGGAGTTTTTAATAAAGTTCCAGAGTCCACAATACCAGTTGAATTTTTTGAAACAACATCTTCACATTTAATAATAGGAACATCAAAACTTTTACTAATATTGTCGAGTGCTTCTTGTGTTGACTCGCTGTGTAAAACAGAAATATTCATTTGGAAATTTTGATAATTGATGAGTGGAAAAACACAAACAGTTTCTTCCAATCCTTTCAATAAATATTTCTTGACGTCCTCAAATGTAGTGTAACTTGTTTGTCTCAATTGTGACTAAAGTTCATTCCTCACTTTCAATAAATCGGCACCTCTATAAATATTTGGCGAGAGGTCCATTTCATTATCAGTCAAACCACTTGACTTATTTTATTTTCTTCGACAAGCTGACTATTGAGCGCAATCAAATTAAATTTGTCGAAATTCTCATCAAAAAATTTAAAATTGTTAATACTTTTAAATTTGTTTGTTTCTTCGGGTTTTGCTTCCAAAGAGTGTTTCACGTATTTACGTCTATTAAACATTTTTCCACAGAAAATACAAAAATGGAAATCTCTTAGACGATTTTCAGGAAGTTGCGTTTTCAATTCAAAGGTAAAGTAATTGCGGAACTCTTCAAAACGTTTGTTGATATTTGAGTCTTGCATATGTTTGTTATTTTTAAGATAATGAAGACAATAAAAAACAAAAAGTTATACTTTTAATATAATTATAGTATTGGTTTTAACAATTGTATTAATTTTTATTATTTAATTTGATTGTGTTTTCATTAAAAATTATATATTATAAATATAATAATATTATATAAAATACAAATATAAACTGTTTTTCAAAAGTCGGTACTGAGGTGTCCCGATTTTTTGCATTTATTTTGTTTATTATTTTTGGGAATCGTTTTTTGTAATAAATTCGCTTATTTTTTCCAAGTAAAAAATAGAAAAACGGTCTTCAAAAAATATTTTTTTACTTGAAGAATTTTTAAGCATTAAAAAATTCCATATAAAATTTAAAATAACGGGATTTTTGTTTCATAAAAACACACGAATTATCCCAAAAGTGCATTTTAGTACAAAAGCAAATAAACTTAATGTCAAATTTTTTCATTATCAAACATTTTAATAATTAATGAAATATTCACAAAACAAAAGCTTAGTTCGAAGATTAGTATGCTTAGTAGTGTTGTCACAAAAACAATAAAAATAACAAAATGATTTGATAATTTATCTTTGTTGGGTTTTATAAAGTCGACATTCTTTTTGAGCATTTCAGTGAGAACATCTTTTTTAAAATATCCAATAACAAAACAATATTGTTATTTTGTATTATTTTTCTAGTGTTGCCCTTT